CTTACAGACAGGAACAACACCTGAAATTTAAATACAATATATTTCTTTCGTAACAATCACTATATACAACTTATTAAGGGATTTCAATTGAAATCAAATTTATTTGGCATGCAATCTTTTGGGGTACATTTTTTTGAAAATTTGATAAAATACATAATTCATGTAGCCTCGATGCCTAGAATAACAGGAGATATTTTAATTTAGTTTCATTGATTATTCAACATAAACTTATCCAGTGGCCAATTTATGTTCAACACTGCTTAACATTTCCTCATTTCTTCAGATATTCATTTCCTTTTCAAAGTAATATGTTATTGAATTTAATAACACTGAAAAGATTTCCATGAACTAACCCTGTCAGTCCCAATCATGTACATTTAATGTCCTTAGCGTTACCTTGTCCATAAAAACTGCACAAATATATTTTTCAAAATATTCCAAAGTAGATGCTTCTATAAATCAAAGCATTAAGTAGAAATGTAACTCATAGAAAAGCCAAAACCCAATTTATCAGAAATCGGGGCATGCTTCTCAAGGGCTACCATGCCAACTGTTTTAAAATTCCATAACACTGAGTCACGTATCAATATTAAATGTACAGCGTGCTTAAAAAGTTAAATGAAGAGGTTATCATATTGTAAAAACACCATGATTGTAACAAAAAACACCAAAAGAAAGAAAATAAAATAGGTACTCACAAATTTTCAATTAACACTTATTGCTGAAAAAATTAATATCTATTTAAATCGTCTCTAATCACAGTCAGTTTGCTTCATTCACCAACGGTTAACAATCTGTACATATTTTACCGATATATTTAGAGAATTTTATAACTATTTACAATTGTTGTTTGGGAAGATGTGTTTCACGTCGATCATTGTCAGACAAAGAGACACCAAATATTAGTTCAGCCTATCTAAAAATATCTGGTTAGTCGTCCTTCATTGTACATGTCCTTGAAGACGGATTCCTGTGCACTTCTTTTTTTAATTTAATTTTATTTTTATTTATTTTTTTTTTTTTTTTTTTTTTTTTTTTATTTTTTTTTTTTTTTTTTTTTTTTTTTTTTTTTCGAAAATTTTCAGCTTTCAATTCACATAGTAATTCGCAGAGTAAATTATCAAATACTGTTTTGTGCTGGAATTACTTCCTATCGACAGTATACTCACCTTAAATAAACTAAAAACTCTGATGTATTTCCATTTTTTTGATTCAAGGTGTTACTGACACCAAAAGGATAACTTATATTGTAGTTTTGACACAGATAAAAATACGAAATTGCTGAACCAACATTTAGTGTCAAAACTGTTGAAGAGAGCTGAACCGGAAGTTTTTTCTGTCTGATATGTTTAAGATTCTAGCTTGTTCATTTGATAATAAACACTTCTGCCTGACACTTAATAAAGTGTTACAAAAGTTAAAAAACATTGATTTGTTCGCAAACTAATTAATTTAATGACGCTATTAGTCTCTTTCTGACAACACCGATGTGAACGTACATTATGTTCCCGCTACAATACGATGATCCGTTCGGAACACCTCACCTTATCTCTTTCTTTGTAAACGCCAGAACAGGAAATGAATTGTAAACAAACAGAATATTAGCCATAAATTGGATGAACTGTGAAATATATGATTATGTTTTATCACACAAGATATTGAAATCTGTTTGGATTATATTTTAGGTAACAGATATGTCTTATGAGAAATTCATAACTAATTCCAGTTTATATACATATTTCACGAAGATACGGAAATAGGTGTTTCTACATGTATGGGTGTGTGTAATTATCAGCTACATAATTGCAATAAGTAAACTGTGCATGTATTTATCTCAAAGTAAATTTCATTTGAGATCAAATTACTGCTCAAAAGCATTTTTTTCTAAATCAATAACTATATACATAATTGGCAGGAATTTTATGTTAGTTGCGTAGTGCAACCTTGTGTTTTCTGTTATCTTATATTGTATTGATAATGCACCTCAAAGCAAACGTGTTAAGGTAATGAATTCACGAATCTTGAACATATCAAATGTTATTCAAATGTATATTTAAGCACTTTCAATTCAAAATGTAGACCTCCGGTCTGTAATACCAGATCACTACATACGAAAAATGAAAGTCGGGGACAAAGCTGAGTTACAATTGTACTGCGGCTGTCTTTGCACGCTACCAGAAATTCGATATTTATACTAGTCACGATTTGTATATTGTACCATTTGTAGTAAAGAAAACGTTGTAGTTTACAAGATGAAAGAAAGACTGGATAAGGCGAGGAGGTCCGAAACATGATAAATGTAGTTGTTCCGAGAATTCTCCTTCCTTGTTTGTGAGACGTAAGACTCACTCTTCAAGGACAGAGTCTCGTTCGGACACCAGACCGACATGTTTATCTATAATACAAAAATACGTAACATACATTAAAAGCTATAAACATGTATCAATTTTTATCCGTTATTAAATACGGGTTTACACAATCAGTCCTCGGTCTTTCAGCTTTTCACTTTCTATTAACTATGGCTTGTTTTCAAATGATAATTTTCCAAATAATACACCTCTTTCCTCAGAACAATTGAAACTTCCTTGTATCTTTTTCGCTAATGTTTCCTTGAAAATAATCATTAACGGCAAAATGGATATTTCATGTCAGATCAAATCAGTAAAAATGTGTGCATCTAATTTGTCAACTACATTATTTACCTTGACAAAATTGGCCTCATCAATTTCCTGATCTGTTATTTTTAATAATATTCTTAACACTGCTGTTTTTTAAGTCCGTGTGATATATTACTTTGTCACCGAGAATCATTCCGACTTTCCATCACGTCTGATCATCTTCCCTGAGAGTCAGTGACATGCTTTAGCTTAAGCTTAAATGACACTTCCTAATTAGTTCCTTCAAGAATACTCCATGAATATCAACGAAATTCCAGGCTTTAGTTATTTTCGTAGAACTTGATTTCATTCAATTTCTGCTTCAGAAGAATTTCCTAGATTTGATACTGATGTTGATGCCATATGATGGTCTCCTCCCTGACATTCTCCTCTACCTTGATCCTGATGCCATATGATGGTCTCCTCCTTGACATTCTCCTCTACCTTGATCCTGATGCCATATGATGGTCTCCTCCATGACATTCTCCTCTACCTTGATGCTGATGTTGATGCCATATGATGGTCTCCTCCTTGACATTCTCCTCTACCTTGATCCTGATGTTGATGCCATATGATGGTCTCCTCCTTGACATTCTCCTCTACCTTGATCCTGATGATGATGCCATATGATGGTCTCCTCCTTGACATTCTCCTCTACCTTGATCCTGATGTTGATTCCATATGATGGTCTCCTCCTTGACATTCTCCTCTACCTTGATCCTGATGCCATATGATGGTCTCCTCCTTGACATTCTCCTCTACCTTGATCCTGATCCTGATGCCATATGATGGTCTCCTCCTTGACATTCTCCTCTACCTTGATCCTGATCCTGATGCCATATGGTGGTCTCCTCCCTGACATTCTCCTCTACCTTGATCCTGATCCTGATGCCATATGGTGGTCTCCTCCTTGACATTCTCCTCTACCTTGATCCTGATGTTGATACCATTTGATGGTCTCCTCCTTGACATTCTCCTCTACCTTGATCCTGATGCCATATGGTGGTCTCCTCCTTGACATTCTCCTCTACCTTGATCCTGATGTTGATACCATTTGATGGTCTCCTCCTTGACATTCTCCTCTACCTTCAGCTTGACAGTGTATTGTGTATTGATACGCGTGTAGTATAAGGGCAAAATGTATATACAAAGAAAATATATGTTACATTATATGCATATAATGCATTTAGTAGGGGTCATTTTGCATATTTAAATGTCACATCAAAACTTCATCAATTGACAAAAATTATTTTATTAATTTAAATTATGTGAAAAGAGAATAATTTTCGATTTTTCAAAGGAAACAACTGACAGAGGGGGAAATCGATTACTTCTCAGAATAAACTCCATGTTTGCATCACATGTATTTTAAAAGTGCATATCGCTCCACGTTATATTGATAAGAGAGAGAACGCCGCCATGATTTAATATATAAAAATACTACTTCACGCAAAGCAAAAGCAGGAAGATAAAAGACATTTGAAATATCAAGTATTCTTAAAACAATTCATTTGTGTGAAAGACCTCCATTGCATTTACTATGTACAATACAATTTCAAACACTGCTTAGCTCGTCAAGTAGACAAGACCTATCTACTAGACGTATGCATGTATTACGCATGAAATTGATATAATTAGGGCATAAAGTGATATATATTAAAACCATATTTAAAACAAAATTTGTTTAGCCAGCTTTAAACGTTTTGATGAAAAGCAGTCTAAATGTAGACAAAAAGGCGATTCCTAATTTATCGCAAGTTTGTACTTTTTATGGATAATATTTTGCGGGTTTACCGAAAAGTGAAGGAAAAAAAGGTTGCAGTTTTTCAAGATAAAATTAAGAAAGCGAAATATTGTTAGTTTTTACATTGGACTTTGTGAATACATCTTACTGATGAAGGCAAATGTAGAAAAGTCACCAAAAACATGGCCGACACATAAATTATATACGAAAGGTATACTGCCTTCCGGGAAAAAAATATACTCACTGGTATCAATCTGACTTTGATGTTTTTAGAGGAAAAAAACTTAAAAAAAAACACTAGATAAATAGAAAAGGCCTGCCTTTCGATGGCGTTGCGTGTGTAGAAATCATCTTTCTAATGATGAAATTATATATCCCATTTTGATACTTCAGTATTATAACCAAAAACGAAATTCTATTTCATCGAAAGAGGAATATTGTGTATTCCGCATGTAATATGCCAAAATCGCAAATAATCTTGTAGCTATCTTGCGACAAAAATTGATAAGTAACAATTAATTAAGAACTGCAGAGAAAAGGAATATAAAAAATAACTGATCCATCCAACATCACCACTATGTGACTCTCTCCGCTCTCCATTACATATCCTGAGGCTGTTGATCAACCTCGTTGCCATTCTCCTCAATACTCCCGTTGGTTTCGTTGTGTTTGGAGTGTCCATTGAGGAACCGCAATCCAGGGAAATCCAAGGAGGGCAAAGAGTGCCTGGGAGACGAACGAGTAGAGGAACATCCCTCGTCCAACTCTGTGATCAGGGACAGAGTGGAATTGTCGATCTTAACTTTACATTTCTTTTTACCAATTGTAGCTGCAACATGATCAATGTATTAAGTTTATTTCATCATCCTTTCCTGTAGCAGAAACTATTCCGAGTAAATAACATTTTATACAAAATTAGATTTACATACAGCAGAACCGAAATTGAATTAAATTGCCTCATATAGGTGCTTTTTCCTTTTACGACTCGTTAATGATTCAAAATTATCAAAATCAATGCCAAAAAAAAAACGAATGGATTGGCGCAAAAACGCCCACGTTCACGAAATACCGTATTTGTTATGCAAAATGATAACACCACGAAGAACTGTGTATGCATTCTGAACTACGACATCTGAATGAGGTATAACCTCACACAATTTAAGAGTTAAATATATGAAAGGTCTTACTTTTACCTTCAATGAGATCTATACAATAAATACAAAGTTGTGTTTTACTTTAGCGAGAATTTGGTCCATTTAGAATGGGAAACTAAAATAATGTTATATTCAGAGCCACACAATCGATATATATTGTAATGAAACGTACTGTTTGGCACCATGGTCTTGTAGAATAAGAATTTTCTAATGTTACAATATTTGGAGAAATGACGCAGAATAGTGACAAAGAATTCTCAGTAAAGCGAGTAACCATATCACAGTTACATGTAGATGCTTTATACAAAGTAATGCTATTAATTCGAGTTGTCTCCACTGAGACATCAGTGTCAGTTTAAAAAATCTTTTATTTATGAACACGACAGAAAGTGATTTTTCAAAAATTCTATAACCAGGAAGAAAATTGAAAACATATTGTATTTTTATTGAGTGGGTTATATATTACCAGTCATATGTTATTTCATTCTTCGGCAGAAAGGAAATACATAGAAAAAACATTATAAAGCATCTTTAAAGACACTATACAGCGCATTGAGCAACGGCACGCATTGTAAAATTCGTTAAATAACGGGATAGCCGGAAATATAAAGTTTTAAGAACTTACGTTGATATTTCTGTTCTACCTTGAGGCAATGATCGACCTTCCATTCGTCTAGACCCTCTGCTAGGCACAGCCGCTTTAATGCGTTGCATTGATACTGAAACACACACGCAGCTGCTTTTGAATATGTTCTTAGCAAAGATTCTCAAAAGACTTTGATTGAATTAACAACTCAAAATAGCGATCTGCTTCAGACATTATTAGATGTTTAAATGAAAACGTAAAAAAAACATGAAAGAAAAAAAAATCAAGATATATAATGCATTATAGCTACTTACAAAGCGATCGACTAAAAATAAGCACTGTAAAGTAATGAACGTCAGCGAAGAATTTATTGATGGTTTGGGTACTCCAATCATGAACGGATAAAATTTTACACAGGTTACATGTCCATGTGCTAGCGGATTTGGTAGGCAAGGATGAACCAAGAAACCAAGAGCAAACGAAAATACATATTTTTGGAAAATTACGAAATTTGAGCCCCACGAAAATATATGATTTAACAGGATGTAGATATTTGGCTTTGAAATCGATACAAAATACAAGATATTTTCATATCTTACACAATACAGAAACTAGACTGTACACAAACACTGAAAGGAATGTATCGTGCACATCGGTCTTTTTTATGTAACGTTTGTTTTAACAGCAATGTAAATATGACGGAGAAGTTTTTTTGTGTCTGATCTTGGGATATAAATCAGTTTAATGAGGATACCAGCCATCGGCAGCAAACATTAATATAAAGAAACAAACACAATTTCTACTTCTTAGCTTCCATTGACTGAGTTAAAACAGAATCTCCGGTAAATAATCAGCGCGCTGAAAACAGATTTTCTTTTAATGTATTTCCGTTGTTATAAAATTATGCATTTAACAGAAAAGATGTTCTAGCAACTTTATGATGAATCGTGGTATTTATACCGATGATCGATGACATTCAATCCACTAAAATCTTGAACCTTAAAAACTAAAGCATACTGTAAACATAGATATCTAAATGTCGATCTTACTACATACCTATTTACATTAAAAATACTATGCTAAAACATTTCTATCAAGACCGAGGAATCTATATCATATATATATATGGCAGTTGCAGATTTATTATTGCATCAACTTGCTTCAAAAGTGATCACGCACTAAAATTTGATTTTTCATTCTGTACAATGTAATGTCAGCTCATGTTAATGTTTGTGGTTTTAATTTGGTGATTAGAACTTTCGTTTTTCTAATGAAATTTTATAATTTGTTGTAGAAAATACCTCATGTGTTATAAACGATCGCGACCCTAAAATTGACCTGTATAATTAATGAGAATGATATTAGGTGTTGAAACTAAAAGTTCTATATCGTTCCATATTTAACATTTCTCCTTATACCTATCATTGTTATCCGTGCTTTTGTTCATATCTTTTTCTTGTTTCAACGAATGGGGGTTTGAATTAAGATTCTGTTAACACGTCAATTTTTTTATTGATGTTTAATATTGGCAATAGCAGAATACCGAAATCGCTTTATAACGGTCATACAGTTTCCTTTGACTTGTGTTATAGGCCTCTTACCTTAAATATTTGCATTCTGACTTCTGCCTCCCTGAGATTATGCTGAATCTTCTTTTTACGACTGTAAACAAGCTTTAACCTAAAGTGTTCATGGTCCTTAACAGCCACAACCAGACCTGTCAATCACAAAGAAAAGTTTTAAAACGACAAGTATTCGTGGTTCTTAACAGCCATGGCCAGTCTTGTCAATCACAAAGAAAAGTTTTAAAACGACAAGTATTCGTGGTTCTTAACAGCCACGGCCAGTCTTTGTCAATCACAAAGAAAAGTTTTTAAACGACATGTATTTGTGGTTCTTAACAGCCATGGCCAGTCTTGTCAATCACAAAGAAAAGTTTTTAAACGACAAGTATTCGTGGTTCTTAACAGCCACGGCCAGTCTTTGTCAATCACAAAGAAAAGTTTTTAAACGACATGTATTTGTGGTTCTTAACAGCCATGGCCAGTCTTGTCAATCACAAAGAAAAGTTTTTAAACGACAAGTATTCGTGGTTCTTAACAGCCATGGCCAGTCTTGTCAATCACAAAGAAAAGTTTTTAAACGACATGTATTTGTGGTTCTTAACAGCCATGGCCAGTCTTGTCAATCACAAAGAAAAGTTTTTAAACGACAAGTATTCGTGGTTCTTAACAGCCATGGCCAGTCTTGTCAATCACAAAGAAAAGTTTTTAAACGACATGTATTTGTGGTTCTTAACAGCCATGGCCAGTCTTGTCAATCACAAAGAAAAGTTTTTAAACGACAAGTATTCGTGGTTCTTAACAGCCATGGCCAGTCTTGTCAATCACAAAGAAAAGTTTTTAAACGACATGTATTTGTGGTTCTTAACAGCCATGGCCAGTCTTGTCAATCACAAAGAAAAGTTTTTAAACGACAAGTATTCGTGGTTCTTAACAGCCATGACCAGTCTTTGTCAATCACAAAGAAAAGTTTTTAAACGACAAGTATTCGTGGTTCTTAACAGCCATGGCCAGTCTTGTCAATCACAGAAAAAAAAGTTTTGACGTTAAGTGTTCTTAGTCCTTATCAGTCAATACCTGATCTGACATTCACAGAGTGGACAGTTTGGACTCAAATTGGCTTCGGGTTTTAATCAGCCTCAACTGGACGTTTCAATCACAGAATAATAGTGTTTAGCATTAACAATCAGTGTTCAACATACCAAGGCAAAATGAGAAGAAGGCAGTAAAGAGTGACAAGTTTTTAGAAATCAGAGACAGTTACTGTTACAAAGAGTAACCATCGTCGGCTAAGACTGTGATATCATACCGTCTCCGGGATGTGGTGTAGTGAGACTTGCTTTATGTGTCACATGAAACCTGGTGCCTATCAACCCTACGAACTTCAAAAGTAACAAATTTGATCCAACTCAAATATCTTCATTGGGTACAACTCTATTTGTAAATAAAGAATCTACAGATAGAAAATATTGATGTATGTGGAGATTACTCCGCAAAATCATTCTGTCTTCATTGGCCCGGTAGTAATTCGCTGACATCCATTAATATGTTCAAAATATCTCGGATGTGCAATTCTGTCATTACATATACCTACCTTTTTTTAATAGTATTCTTTACTTGTCATAAACGTAATTTCTTACAATATAATAGGTATTTTCCATTTCTATCGAACTAGTTATTTTTCCTGTTGAAATTCCAGTTATGATGATCTTAACAGTAGATCAGTATTATATAGCGTAAAGTATTTTGGGGTGTTATTTATAAATTCTGGCCAAAATCCAGACATTTACCGATATTTACCGATGTTTACCGACGTTTCTGAACTCGGCAATCTTCGGTTTACGTTTACGTTTCGATATGGCGAAGTCGACTGTTAACCCTAGAGCAAGACGGACATATAACTGTATGTTACTAGCCATTCGAGATAGAAAAAGAAAGAATGGAAGAAGAACAATTCACCCTAATTAACGTGGTAAGGAAATGAGCCTAAGCATGTATATAAGCTTAATTAAATAGGCCTCTGTGTTTTTGACAATTGCGCAGAATAAAAAGAAGTACCGCGTCTGCCAAGAAGCTGATACGAGTGGAAATTGGTAGATTTTCGTTTTCTGCAATCGGCACGAAAGACATGCATGTTTGGTATTCTGGGAGCATTATACCTACTCCTAGCAATCGTTGTTGGGAAGTCAAGAAAGGCGAGAGTATCTGCAAAATACGTGACATATACCGTGATGTCTAACGCAAAACCTCACTGTAGTAGAACTTGTCGCACTCTATGCATTTTTTCGAATTAAATTAGTTTACGGCATTCAATTTGAGGCATAGAATTATATTTTTTTTCTTAATTCGGTGTTCTCATTCTTGCAAAGGTAAAACTTTCCTCGACTGTAGCCAAGGCTACAATTTTCAAGGGGTGTCCTCTGCCAGATTCGAGCAAATACGATCGATAATGTCTACACTTTCACAAGTTCGGAATGGACTGCTTTGCTGAATCTAATGTGTATAAGATAATTGTATTAAATTTTTTGTGTAATGAACGTATATATGTTGATTGATATCATTTTCTCTTTTAAAAACAGAGACTCATAAAAGTGAAAATATGGAACTGGAATTAAAAATGCATCAATAGTAAAGGATCTAAAATAGTCATGCTTTATTAATGATGTCCCCCATTATACCGTAAGTACTTTACAGTATATCTTAAATACCTTACAGTATACCTTGTATACCTTACATCATACCTCAAACAGCTTACATTATACCTCAAATACCTTACATTATACATTAAATACCTTACATTATACATTAAATACCTTACATTATACCTCAAATACCTTACATTATACATTAAATACCTTACATTATACCTCAAACACCTTACACTTAACCTTAAAAACCTTACACTGTACCTCAAATACATTACATTATACCTTAAATACATTACATTATACTTCAAATGACTTACATTATACCTTAAATACCTTACATTATACCTTAAATACATTACAGTATACCTTAAGGCCGAATCGATTGTATCTAAAGTGTTCTACAAGTGTATTCTTTGCTACTGGTTCCATTCCTAAAGTGTATATCTCCGCCGCAAAGGACGTACGGTATTTATATTACAAGGCATCTACTCTATGTATTAATGTTAACAGGACCCTGTACATTGTTTAGTATACTGATATTACAAAGAACCAATTAAAAACAATCAATACAAAGGAAAAGGTAATCATTAGACACTTTTGAAGACATAACCTGATATATTCTACAGGACTTGTTGACAGCGTTAAAGAAATAATACATATACTATACAAAGACATACGGCAGGTATTGAAGAAAAACGTTAAAAAACTAATTAAGACTTGTCAATATCTGTAGCGGTAACAGATGTATGAAATTAGTAAATACTTACTGTTAACGACCCGGATGACCCTCCAAGGTAGCAGAAAGGCCAATATGAAAACAAAATCCCTGGTGTCATACTGTGGAAGGTATACCATCAGACACGAGTCAACAATAAACGACGTTACCACAATGAAAGCATCGAATACCTGCAAATTAAGATTAGCGATAGTTATCATAACAGTCTAATATCTATTGGGGAAAACTTCAATATAAAAGAAACGTTTCTATTGGATATTGTAAAATATGACGTCACTCTTTATAATGATGTTTTATAAGGTGGTTACACTTGAGTAGAATTTTCTGTAAAGAATTAAAACAAGTAACGTATATAGCTAGTACTTTCCACGGGTCAAAAGTTTCAGTTTCAAAGAACGAAAAATGCACAATCTTGATGGGAAAGATAATCAAATACACAGTACATTTCACAGTACGTTTAGGTACCGAAAATATAAGGCTGTACGGTAAATAGATATCAGTTATGTTTAAAACATGCGATGATATTTAACTTTTTGTGATATCTATCGCAATAAACCTAATTTAATTGAACATATCAATATATTCACAAACGAGAAGAGAAAGCTCGACGATAGTGTTCATTTTCGATATCTAGCTTGACGTGACGCCTTAATAATCTAACGACCCAAACTTAAATTATGTTGAATGCCGTATAGACATTTAACAAGATGGAAATGCTATCATTAAAAGATTATAGTTTCTTTCAATTCGATTCATGATGCAAATGAATTCATAGGAAACGTCTTTTCATATCTTAATACATTTCTATATACATGATTATTTTGAGAGCAGGTAATAAGAAAGTATTACCTTCATATTTACACAATACGGTTTATCCAAGATATCAGTAAAGGTATCACAAGGTCTTTTCAGGAAAGGTAAAGTTGCGAAAGAAATCGATGATATAAAATTTATAAAATCAAAGATATGTTATTGTATGTTTAGGTATGACGACGTCTTATTCAATTTTGATATCAACATGATTCAGAGTTCAAAAGTTTAGTAGATGTTATTCAATTAATGATGACGTCATCTTGTACTTACCTCAAGACGTCGATGAAAAAATATACAACCTGCACATAATGCCTTAAGTATTGTCTGAAATGAATACAATATGTCTCAATTATACAAAATCGGAAAACGAGTTCAAATAAAAATAGTTTTTCCCTAGAACTGAGAAAGTGATATCAAAGCTATAGTCGTGTTCTTTACTTATTTATTGTTGCCTTACGTCCTAATTACAGTCGGGGTCATTTAAAGACGTATAAGGTTTGAATGGTGGAGGAAAGCCGGATTTTGCGGGGGAAAACCACAGACATATATCCAGTTCCTGGCGACTGTTCTACGTAGGCCTCCAACCCAGGAGGTTGGGAGGTGATAAAGTCGGACAGACGTCTTACCATATCGAACGCCACGGCCCCTTGTAGTGTTTTTTATTGTCTTATCAAAGTTATATATTTATAGGATTGCTCAAACAAATTGATTTTATCAAAGTGCCATATATAGTCAAAGAATACTTCATGGGAAAAATGTTGGGGATTAAGCATTATATAGTGTAATAGAGAATAAATCGATACGAAAAAAAGTACATCAAGCAAGGAGTATGTGTTAAAGACATATTCTTTAAATAAATATACGTTTACCCAATTATTAAACATATGTGCGAGGCTGTGTATGTGATAAAATAATACAAACATATAAATTAAGTCAAAGGTGAGAGTTGTTGATAATGTTAAGGTAACTTTGTTGTAGTGTTTATTGATTTTTGAAGCACGTGGATTGAAACAATTTCTCTCAACTCAATTTTAAGCAGAAACACTGTTTAAGTATAACAGAGGAAAAAACATTTTGTGCCAATCTGTGAACATGATAAATTATTTTGATATGATATCATAAGAAATACAAACCTCTAGTAATATAATTCCTAATATAGATATACTAGCAAAATGAAATGCATGTGCTATATCTTCCTGTATGCTTTGTCCTTTAGAATGATGGTTTTCATTGATCGCAGTATCATCCAGTACAAAGTTACTGTCCGACGTTCTAGCCGATTGTTCCGTTGGTTTGGTTAAAGTCCGTCGGTAACGGTACGTTTTGTTTACATCGAGTTCTTCCTCTGTTTGAGCTAAATTATATTCTGATATGTTCCACTTTATAGATGCCACCATAAGCATGTCAAAAACCTCTGAAAACTGTTTATCTATTAGGTACTGGTGATGTTGGCGCCTCATGTTCTGAAGGAAAGCTGTAGTGCTTTCGGTCAATTTTTCATTCTCTTCAAGAGTGACTGAAAAAAAGCAAACCCAAAGCGTTTAAATTTGAAAAATTCTATAACTGTACATGTGTATTACAAAAAAGTTTCCATACTATGTGGCATGTGAGAGCCCAACAAAAGAGGACGTCAAAGTTTGGAGACAAGCAAAACAGAGGTAAAAAAATCCTTTAACATTATCAATCCTTATTACTGTCCACGAATGTGTCATTTCAGATAATTCGAATTTTGATGTTTAATCCGCTATAACTTCAAGCAATGAATCCTTAAACGTACATTTGTATGCGGGTTGAGCAGTTAAGTAGCAGTAATAAAACATAGCTATTAATAATCTCATTTTACGCTACAGTTTAGTGTATCAGTGTATACGTGGAACAACGCGAATATTAAACGGTAGATGAAGTTAGAAGTTACATGTAGAATATACAAACTGAATGTTACTACGGTTTAGGTCGAACTAAACACAGAAAACGGAGCAAATAAATCCTGTGCGAATGTTTCCTCTTTCAAAGTATATAAAATAAAGTAAAACAGATATATCAAATTTTACTTTTATTAAGAATGGGATCATTAAAAATGATATACATATATACTGTTACTATATACATTTCTTTCTTCTCTTCTATATTTTCAAAAAAATGTCTCGGGTTTAATTCAGCTTCTACATATTTCCATATTATTGATACATTTTCTACTACTCGATTTTTAAAATTTAGCTCATGAAGTATTTTATTTGACCTTAAGTCCTTGCGTAGACCACGCACGCCCTTTATGTTTTGTTTTCATACACTTATAAATCGTACCTTTGACTTTGTGTAGATCCAGAGTTAGCTCCCCTAGTACAAGTGCGCAATCCGTTATACACAGCACCACGACAGTCAGTAGCATGTATTTACTCTTAAAAAATTGGTAGCCCTTTCTTCTCCACCTACAACATAAACAATATGAGTCAATGTCATGTTATTTTATCTGCTACTGCGTATAAATTGTATGAAGCTGGTCACACAACCAAAGTTCTTATAGAACATTATGAGGCAATGTCATGTTATTGAATCTAGCTACGGAATATATATTGTATGATGCTGGTCAGAAAACCGATGTTCTTAAAGAACCACTTAATAGCACCAAATGTCCTAGTGGTTTTACAAACATTGACCACAGCACCATTGTTCTTATTTTACCTAGTCACAAATCCGAACCGACTCTGTCCAATTGTGATAACTGGCCTAATATACATACATGTACATGTTGTGAATGCTTCCTTTACAAGCCTCATCCACAATATAAAACATTAAAGTGTAGTTTATTTAAAAGTTTTGAAATTCAGTTTGTTTTAACGTTGGCATTATTGTTTTATGTTGACTGAGACATGGCAGTGACTTGTTACAACTTTTCGATAGCCTGCGCAATAACAATTATTACAGGTTAAGTTTTATGGCTGAGATTCTCTAGAACAAACTAGATAAACATGATAGGGGCGACGATGCAGGCTTATTATGCTCCTTCAGAAGGTGCCGAACTACAATTCATCTACGTTATTGATATCTGCACAATACAGAATGACATTTCTAGGCCATATCAAGACAATTAAAAGAATATCTAAGAAAAACAAATTTATAAAACAACGTCTTTATCTACCGAGAACTTAAGCACATCGCATCATCCATAATAGCTTTGATTAGGAAGCTGACATTCACATGAGATTTCAAACCAAGATTAGTGTCTCTTTGGCATGTCCACAATCAATTTCCTGAAGGAACAATAATTAATTGGAATAAAAACACGTTACTGCGCCTCTTGATTAACCTTATACAAAGACACCATGCAAGATTATCATACAATTTGTCAGCATTTGACAAGAATGGTCTCAATCAGGGAATACGTTTCACATGCCTCTTAGCACAAGTCGGCAACACTTACCAGGTTATGACACCAATACAAGCAAATGCATGATCGTGTTAAAGATGTTGAAATGACTCTTAAGCAATCTCTATGCTTAACATAATTATCTACAAAATAGTGACGTTTTTGCTTTGCACCATGCAGTGTTCATACATAATTGTGCATATTACATGAGAATATTGGTAAAAAAATTAAAATGATGAGTTTTTAGGACTTATTCGTCTGGCCCTGGTGAACACTATTCTGTAAACACAAAACTGTATCATTGACTTCTCACCGTGGTTGTTTTGTGCAAAATTTTGATAAAATTCTTTGTTAGTTGTTTTTTTAGATATCCATGAGAGATTTTGACACGACTTAATAGCATTTAAACAACAAAGAAAGCATCACATTTACAGTCTATGTCCTATATGTTTAAGTACTCGAAGCAAAACGCTTAGGCATGGTGCTGTGAAGGTTTTTAAGCACAATTCGCTTATCACTGAGCACGTCGCCGTCTTCCAAAACATCGTGGGAAAAGCTATTCCATGTACACTCTAGCTTTTTTCATAAAAAATTATCGAGTGTGTTGCTTCGTGAGAAAATCACATATTTTTTAATAAGCCTACATTTCGAAACACCATCTATTGTTCGTAAATCAAATTATCAAATTTTAAACCCGACATATTGAATGCAGCGTCCATCCTTGTGTCGGTAAAAAGCAATAAAATCGGTATTTACGGGTGTGTAAATGTTTCGTAAGTAGTAAATTGTTTTAAATTGTTTTTGACGTCAAATTTAAATGCACGGGAACTGATATTTGAATAACGATAACAACAGGCTCAGCTCATCCTATTCTGAGTACGTTATTACAGTGCCGACAAATCAAATATTATGCGATTTAAGAGGTCAGAAAATGCATTTTAGACAAGAACTTTGCAAATAAATATATATTTACATGCAATGGTATTGTCAAGATATTTGAAACTTTAGAGTGGAAAAGAAAAGAGGTGGGAGAGTGGAGGATAACGGGAAGAATATATACAACGAAACATACACAAAGTCATTATCTTAGCATAAACAAAATGGCGGACCAGACATGGACACATGATTAAAGGCCATGAACTAATAATATCATATACTTGCAGAACAATCCTCTTTATATCCAACGAAAACAGAAAAGGAACATTAATTATTTAACATCAATCATATTAAATGGTATGCGTGATTTTTACCAAACATTGCAGTAGTTAAAGGGGAAAATATCGTTATTGTTCCCTATCAGGTTCAATTCAATTAATTTCAGAAAGATCAAAATATTTGAACCCTTCTTCTTGTGAGGTTTAAATATTTTGATATTTCTGAAATCAATTGCATCACCTATACAACTTATGTGTGTTTATATTATTGTAGGGACATATGCTGTGATATCACATTACATTTCAGGGAAAAAATACCAATTTTCTGCGGCAAGATTATAATGAAAGGGTGATAGGCAGACTTTGAAGGTAAAAAATATTTTTTAATTCTTTTCCATTGATATTAATTAATATCTTTGGTAATTGGATTTATCGTCCTTTCAATTCATGTTGGTCATTATGTTTCCATTCACTTGTTGTGTTTGTGAAAATCGACAAATTCACAATGTTTAATGATATATTACTTTCAGGGTATAATTTAGGAGAACTCGCTGGTGATATAGAGAGAAATGTTTGTCTAGAAATCTTAGGCCAACCAAACACGCTTTGAAGTAATGACAAAAGGTTTTCGAGAAAACAATTTCGGAAACGTATGGAGATAATGTTATCAAACAAAAAGAGAGTGTTTGCAAGCAATAGATATGTTCTACAAAGTGTTATTTAAAATAGTAGGAGTGTTTAACTGTACAAACGTATGCCGGCAAATATCGTTTTTTCTACCAATGTAGTCAATGCAACAAAGAGTTCAGCGTTATTCTTACTAGTCTGTCAGTCTGACTTCTAAGACTGCATTGATTTGTTCCGTACATGAATCTCATGAAACTTTAATCCAAATGTAATTAATTGATTCGCACAGTAAACGAGTGTAATCCGAAACTTAATGTGATCACACATGTTAAAAACAGTTTTTATCACAAACCTATTTTCTCATTTTTTTCTTCTGCAAAATATCAATAATATTAATTGTATGAATTTCTCTTTCCTGCACATTAAAGTCTAAGATAAAAAAAAAAGATGGAAAAACGAATTCAGTGAAAGAAAAATGATGTCATGCGATAGTGATAAAAATTTAGAAAAACATATCTTCCTACTTATTCGAATATTCAATGGAATCAATAGGAAAAACCCGATGAGTTCCGAAAGAAATACCTCTGAAGACTACAGTGAGACGCATTATGTATATGAAACAACTGACTATATATTACAATAGATGATAACAGGAACATGTTATACAACTGGCTCTAATCATGTGTTCGGCATGACTGAAATAACGTGTACTAATACACTAATATACGTGTTTGTGATAACGTGAAACTAATACGTTTCTCCAGAATTGGACATAGTAGAAACGGCCATAGTCGTAAAAACGTAACAAACAAATGGTCAGACAGACCAATGGCCAGACAGACCAATGGACAAACAGACCAATGGCCAGCATGAACTGATAGACGAACCGCTCAAATTTTACAAATTTTCAAATGTATTTCAAAACAATGCATGCGCTTTTTATGTTTAATTATGATGAATTTACAAGAAAGAAATTATTTTAATAAAATGATATAAAATCTACATCTACTGTATATATTGTAAATTCAATTAAATTCAAAATAGTGTTTAACAAATATAAACACTTACCCACAGAAAATGATCTTTTGTATTCCCTTTCTGCTTTGCGTATAAAAATCCATTTTTACTCACAATTTAATGTTTATTTTCGGATCACACAATTGTGCTATTATGTAAGGTATTACGCAAGTCTTCATTTTTATACAATCATCATGATATAGCATTGCAGTATATTTAACATGTGGTAAATTTCAAAAAAGCATAAGTAGACAAATGTAGTTGAAAAAAAGCATATGTATCGTTGCATTGGAGTGCAGTACATTTACACTTTAAAAACTCAGGCCATTAAGTGCTTAATATGAAAGTGAATATTTCTCCTCGTGTTTTTAGTGCTTTTACGTGTAATTACACTCGTCATCGTCCATTCATTGATATCTTTTTCTTTTTGTTCCTTCTCCTCTTTTCCTGTTTCTGTTCATCCCCCTCCCTTGTTTCTTTTCTCAAATTTTCTCCACTCACACCCACACTTGTCTGTATCATAACTCTCCCCATCTTTTCTATTTTCTCTGTCGTTTAACCTGTTTATTTTATATCATTCTCCCTTTTTATCAGCTTAACCTTTTCTTAATATCTTAATACAGTTTCCAACACTTCACATTCTTTCACTTTTTCAATCCATCTTCTTTCCCTTCCCTTATTCCCTCTCCCTCTTCTCTTGTTTTTTTTTCTTCTTTTGTTTATCACCATGTCTCTCATCATTCTTTCTGAACATGTACTAGCCTTTTTAATCATTCCTCCCCTAGATATGAAAACTAATATACTCATGAAATATTTGTAAAAAGCCTGTTCTAAAATCTTAAACCTTCGCATTTATATATTGGTTATGAGTAATTCCAACACTATCGTCACTGAACCGGTCTCTGTTAACTACACTGTATAAATTATTCCTTTGTCTGTTTCTAGTTCTACAGCTCGGCTTGTTATCAATTCACATAATGTTCGTTACGATATTTATTTTTATTCGACCTAGTGCGCTACCTGGTTGTGTCAAAGGACAAGCGTGGAATGTGCTGTAATTGATGGAAATTAAATAACATCGTGTTCTATCACAACATGACTTTGATCAGTAAACGGATCATATTTCAAAGTACGTTTCGTAATATGTATCGTGCGAAATAGCATTTGTTATAACGTCATTCCGACCATTGTCTATTAATGTAACTAACTTGTTTGACGAAATACAACAATCAAGACCACTTACTCGAATGAATTAAAAGTGCCAGTTAAAATACATACGGAAGAAAAAAACAAACAAACAAAAATGTGAAAAAAATGACATAGTTATTGCATAAGACTCTATATGTTGAAGGTATAAATGTTTGAACAACGATCGATTGAAAGAGGCCTCAGAAAATTACTGGAATGAAATAGAATGCGAAGAAATTTTAGCAACAAAGATATTAGCATTGTATCTGTTAGATGTTTCCATATATCAGTCGCGCCAGTTTTAGTAGGAGGGATAGCCTACCTGCCGAGATTTTCCTTGGGAGGGTCGATGTCCTGCTGGAGCTCCTCCTCGAGTTCGTTTTCGATCTTCTCAACGTACCCGTGAGTTTTTGCCAACACTAAAGTCTCGGCAACTAATGTCTGAAAGAAAAACGATCCTTACATACGTACGAACATATAACAAGATTAACGAACGGACGAACGACTCTCTATTACACCTAAAGATTTCTCTCCTTTTAAATAAACGACATTTCTGTCAGGGAATGTAACGTGGACTGGTCACGGCACCAAATTTCGTCATTATTGTCTATATCTAATACCGCATTTTTGCCCTGACTTCTCCTTATACACTCTATATAGAATTCAAAGAGTGTTACTTGAATATACATTTGAAACGTCATTAGGCCACGTGACCACTACAGTGACACCATATATCTAGCTGTGATAAAACTTGTTTTGCTTGCGAACGGACGTTGGACAGTCAAATTGCTAAATTTATCATTATTACCCACAGATTTGTAAAATATATGAACAGAAACCTGATATAAACGCTTGATTATTATTAAGCAAACTGGTCACGGCACCAAAATGGAAATGTATCAATGAGCTACTAGTATAATGCCAAGTAGTTTGCATAGAGAATGTCACTGCCAAATCAATCGAACCCAAAACTCCCTGATCTCTTGCAGACGGACATCTTAAAACCTACCCTTATCGCACTGTCCTTCCGTTTGCCATAGCGTCTCTGTCCAGGGTTAGCCCTTTGGCTGTTCAAGTTTCCAATCCCTGGAAGCATTTATCAGTTGAAGTGTCATCCACCCTATAAAGTCCCGCCACATTCATGTAGGTCACTGTGGGGCCGTCTATAAAATACAATGAATACAACACATGTAAACATAACTCAGGGGATTAGACAACACTTTAATGACAGATCAATGCCGTAATTCACAGTGTCTACGTGATCGCATAAACTTACACTACACAATGCCGTGATTACGTACGTGTAGCTGTTCATTTTATCCAATATATATTGACCAAAGACGATATTTTAGTGATAAAATTACATTCAAAGTTTTTTTTCGACATTTACTCACAACGCCTTATCCAAGTTCATTCATTGTATTGCTGTCAAATGTGCCTTGTTTTTTTTTAATTACTGGTTTTCAATTTTAATCTCGACAATACCATGAATAGCTTGGTTGCTAAGCGTTGACAAGGTATATAAGGTGAGAAACATGACCCCATGCTCTTGTAGATTGATTTCAATATCAAAAAAGGAAAAGAAGGACTCTATCTCCGGACGGCTTAAATGTTGTTTTTTTTTAATTTATTGAGTAGTGTGTAGCTTAAATCACTATAAACAACTGCTAGAATACATCCTTTTAAACTCTCATCGTAAGCCGAGCCTAGTAATCCGTGATAATATATGTTTGTGTGTGTTTGTTCTTTCTTTCATTTCTGAAATCATCAAGTAGATATTTTCCTAGTTATTCAGTTATAATGACATAAAATTGACCTTTTTCTTTCTTTTTTTTTTTGGTTTAACTTCTTGCATTTATTTCTACCAAAACTTGAAACAAAATTAATATGAATTGATCGATCTTTTTTTTATTTTTTTATCCGATAGAAATAGTGAAAAACCTCAGAAAAGCAACTGTCCCACATGTACCACCATGTATGCTTTACATACTATCGTATTTAATTATGACAATAACAGAACTTTGTGTTTCGGTTAATATGAATTTCTCTGTTCGTTATATCCTCGAATCTGCATCAGTAACTGATGATGATGTGTAACCATTACACATGTCACAAATTATCCTCACATCCTTTACAAACATGTATTTACCTATACGTCTGTATATCGGTTAAATAAGAATAGATAACAGATAATATTTTGATCCTGACACCAAATTAATAATACGCCTGTCTTAATTCAATTTTCTGTTCTATTAAAAGGGGAAAAAATGAAATTGACAAAAATAATCAGGTGTTAATCATTTGTGAATTTGTTTTATTCCGTACTTTATTAATTTGGTTCTATTTCTGTATTTTCCTGAAGTATTTTCTTATCCATTGAGTGAGGGTTGACGGGAAACTGAAGAAATATACCCTGTGTATGTTTGTCTTAATCCAATCTTATTTCGTTATAAACGCAAAACGTGTTCCTTTAAGAACGCGTGTGCGCATGTCGGCAGGTAATTTTTTTCGTCAATCATGTTTTGACCAGTAGGTGGCGCTGCATTTTCTCAAGATTGTGTTAGTTCAGTATATGTTTGGTTGACATATTGGAATGAGAACCAAGCGAAGATTACATGTTTTAAATGTTCCATAGAGATTCATTTTTTTCACAAACACCAAGTTAATATTGACACGCATCCCTTATATCATCACACTGTTGATGATGTAATTCACCGACATTCTCTTCTCTACTAACAAGATCAATATCCTGATCGGAAATATGACACAATGTCTATATAAAGAAGCAAGGTTCAAGATGAAACTGTGTTGCAGACAACCGGTAATGATGGGTATATCGCCTCGTGGACAGCCATGTTAACACTAACGGGAGAGCTTGTAATCACAGCTTAATGTGAAATACAAAACCACAAATCGGTGCATGTTTACTTGTTGCAAACCACATGATCTCTCGGTTGAGCTATTATAGCACCACCTGTAGTATCACGATGTCCAAAGAAGTTCTTTGCACTAATTTGTGTATTTAAATTATATTTTCAAAGTATAAACTTGAAGTTGACCAAAAATGTTTTGATACAAAATGTTCCTGGCTTTAATATCCGTTGTTTGTGGTCTTTTTTATTTGAACAACTTCTTCTAAAGAACCACTTGACCGATTACAACAGAATATGGTCGAAATTGTGTGTCCAAGATTTCGGAGGATATACATATGTAATTACTGACAAATGAAGGACCAAAATAAAGAATTCATCACTAGTACTTTACTGAAAATGTTTGTTGAAGTATTTTTACTGACACCTGCATGTGCAGTGTAGAGTTTTATATTTCATTTTGAAGATCATGTCAAGTTCAGCAACAAATCCACACTCGGATTAAACGTCCAATTTCACAATAATTTGGTACTGACATATTGTTGTAGCTTTTTCGAAAAATGGATATCTGAATGTGAATTTTTAATGCTTTATCTTAGAAAAGAAGACATAAGTACTATCTAATGAAGAAACTAACTGAGAGGTTATTGAGTTTGGAATGCAGTCATACCTTCTGCTTTTAAACTAAAAAGTGATACAACCTAGTATTTATAAGTAACTAAACTGTTTATCCGATAAAATTTCATTATATTTAAAAAGAATGGTGCAAAAATTCAAGATACTATTTTATGCATACTTTCAATAAATTTTCAGATTAAAATGTTACTTTTAACACCTAGAGAAACTGATATTGCATTTAATGTTTCTTGTTAATCATACAGAAAATGTATGCCGTTTCTTGCTTTGCGCTCAAGCTTTTTAAAAGTTTATTAATTCTCTTTAGAATTGGAGTCTTCACTAAATTCCTTTATCACTTAGAACGAAAAAACATAAAACGATGAGGCGGTGAAATGACCCGTCTCTTTAAACGTTGGCAATTAGTTATACAGCGTCCGATACGTTTCGTCCTGCAAAATTCATTTTAAAAACTAGAATAAATTTCTTAATGACAGAATGTATGTCATAATGACCATACTAGATCACGGGAGATCACAGGTACGGGTGAGTTCAATGGTTTACCAAAGAACCGTAGCATTGACTTCACTAACTGTGGATTTTCACCGCCTTAACATACACTACATCAGAAATTTATCAAAAACTTCAGATATTTAAATTTTTTTTGTAATGCAAACTATGAACAAGATTTATTAGAGACGCTCACAGTTCAATATCTCTTTCAAAATAATTGATGGTGATTGTGTAGGGTTTTGTGACGCATCAATAACATCTATATTTGACGTACACGTGTTGATACCTGTCCAAACCTTTGGAAGTGACATCACTCTAGACGCTTGTAAGTCTGGAAATGATATACATATAATCGTTTGTGATATAGATCAGCATACGCGTACGGGCACGTGTATAATCACTAAAGAATGTAAATTTGCTTTCTTCTTTAGTCTTGTGCACAAACTGCGACAAGACATCTGGGGACCTATCCCTATCCCTTTCTGTCTGTTAATCCCTTTCCACGCCTCCTCAACTGACAATACTTGGTTGTATGCAGTCCCCAATGTGGTCTGGAGGAAGGTATAACGAATTTATCTCCTGAAGCAAATACTAATTCTATATTGTTACAGTACTTTTTTTGCTTGACCTTCAACTGTAAATAGGTTGGTGGTACAGACAGCCTACCTTCAGCGTCATTTGACCAAGAGTGACATCATGTCTTTGTGGTTTTGTTTGTGTTTTGGGGGTTTTTTTTGGAGGGGGCGGAATTCACGTTTTGACATTTCAATGATGACAAGGGTATGGCCAAAGAATAGACCCCTTTGCACAGGAGTTCACATGTGTTTGCGACGATCTTCGACTACAAAAATGCCATCTTGCGCATGAAAGATAGAGAGAGGGCGACAGATAGACAGACGGACAAGCAGACAAAGGATGCACTCTCTCGATAGCATTCCCCGCTGATAGTTTTCTGTCTAAGTAGAATGACATTTATCAATCTGGTGCCTCCTTTCCACGGTAATCACGATAGTAATTAAGAATTCACAGAATTCGATTCCACCCGTCTTTACTTCTAATAAGAGCTGCTGAATTTTTTTGTTGAACATTCTCTTGTAATAGATAACCACATCGGCTTTTATAAATGAGATGTCGCTTCCTGTTTCAAATTTTTACTTTGTATCTGATTATCTCCCATTGTACCGTGTTTTTGTCACGTGATGCGATATCACATAGTAACATTTAAAAATTTTCGGTAACAGGAAATGAACAGGGGACATCAAAGGCGAAACAGTTTTTAAGAAGTCTTTATTCTGCATTGCTTCTGACAGCGACATCGGATTTAGTTTCAGATGACAACACGAACGATTCTTCTATCCGAAACATCAAGAAATAATTTCTAAATGTCTTTAATTACAATTTATACAAAGATTAAAAATCATGTCTGATCTTTCTGAATTTCAATCTCACTTTTACTAGACATTTTTTACTTCAGATTAACGCCGTTTATTTAAGGAAAATACATACCTAAGGTTAGGAAAGCGGCAATCACTGACTGTACAGAGAAGCAATGTCTCGCCTTCCTACAGCTTACCCTCTTATAACTCCTACACACACATCGTTTAATTGGAATTAATAAGACTTCCATCGATGATAAAAGGTACTTATATGAAGTATACGGACTGTCTGTCTCATTTAAGATACTTCGTAAAATATCTACGATCAAAAACACAGGATGCCTATATACGGTTAAGCGAGCCGTGTGGTAGATAAAAAGTTTGTTAATCATATGACGATCAAAGACTTAGTACAACTATCATAGCGTCAGACTGTCCGTTTATACAAAAGACAAAGGATTATTGGCAATAATCTAAGATATCAATATCTGTTAACCAGGTGCAATACAATAAAGGTATTTCGTACAATAAATGAAATAGGTTCAATTACTGTTTGCGTGTCCATTGTGGAATCTCCCCATTGAAGAAAGGTTTCTAACACTACAAGTACAATTAGGTTTTGTCACTATATCGGCATAAAAATTTTATATGGCATTCTTATCATCAATAAAGGTCAAAGCTCAAACAGTTACGTCATAATGACTATGACGTCATAGTGGTTA